TTGTAAATATCAAGTTATTTAGAGCCCTTCAAATGAGGAGTCCGTTGTTGTTGTTTTTCTTCTAGAAAAGTGGTCTTTGTTTCAAACTTGCAGTTCACTTGGACAGGCTGGGTTCGGACACCAGGCAACTCCTCCCTGGTTTTGAAGTTTTACAATCACGTGACTATTTCCCACCTTGAGTATGTTCGTCTGAGGATCAGTCCATTTCTACTGCCACTGTCAGATGGCCTCCTGATTGGTCTCCCTCTTTTCACTTTTGCCCATTCCAGTGTATTAGCCCTCAACTGCTAGAATGGTCCCCAAGAACACAGGTTTTGATCATATGACCTTCACTATTCCCCCTGCCCCCCACTTCCTCTTTGCTCTTAGGGTCAAACCCTCAGTCCTCACCATGGCCTCTAGGGCCTTACTAACCCCCCTGTCCTCACTGTGCCCCATCGGCCTCTATGTTCACTGTTGTGTCCTTACCACAGGGCCTGACACAAAGTAGGTGTTCAATAAATGTTTGCGGAATGAATGCATTGCTATGTTAGTGTCTGAATTCCGTCTGAGTGGCCAGATTATTATGACCACCTCATTAGTACAATGAAGTGAATTAGTTATGCAAATAGTAATAATAATACAACCTTGAGAGTATTTGCTTAGGAAGTTTTCAATATTCAGTATTTTTGAAAGTGTCAATGCAGTACTGATGGGGGTGGTCATAATAATCTGGCCACTCAGTGTATATTCTTCATTGCAAAGTACCCTCCTATAGCAGAGCCGGGTTCAGAAACCTTCGGCAAGTGAGGGTCCTCTTCCCTGAGCCTCAATTTCTCCATCTGTAAAAGGGGAATAGTGCCTTCTCATAAACGGTTGGGAAAGTTCAATGTAACAATGCCTCATTATAGGGCCCACCTCATAGTAAACCGTCAAGAAGGGTTAGCTCTTCGCATCACCGCTGTTGAATACTGTTTCTAGGAGAGCTAGGAGTTTCTGCTGATGGGTGTATTTGTTGTAAGTATTATGTTACAGTTTCTAGGTACTAGAGCTGCAGAGCCGAAAGGAGCAGGATGCTAGATTGTACTTTAATGTATCCCCTGCACTTGCCTAAAATAGACAACACTGTGGCCACGAGGATGTGTGTGTAGGGTGGGGGTTACAATACCGTGTGAAGTGGGTAAGGTGGTCTGGGCAGCTGCTCTCACACCATGCTTCCCGAGAGAGCTTGGCAACGGCAAACCTCTGCCCTGCCGACGTGACGGGCACTGCCTCGAATGACTCCGCCACCTGGGTGTCAGAGGGTCCCTCTGCAATCCTCTTTCACTCCCCGCATGGCCGCTTGGTGTTCAGGTGGGCAGAGTTAGTGATTGGGAGGGTGGGGGAGCGGGAGAGTGGGGGCCGGATGGGATGGGGGAGTAGGTGGAGCTCCCCAGCCCTGCTCTGAAGGATGCTAAAGCCTGAGCTGGTTTGAGAGGCTTTTCCTGAGCTGGGTCCTGCCATTTAATCCTATTCAGTCTTATTTCTCTTAAGGAGAGGCAGCTACTTAAAGTGACAGTTGGTTGTTGAATCTGTGGATGTTGGAAGGAAGGTGCCCTGGGTGGCTTTTTTTTCAAGGTCTTCTTTTCATCCAGGAGGCCTCTCCTCCTAGACTGGGAGAGTGAGGCGCCATGGTCAACAAAAC